GGGTGAGGGAAAGGAGTGTGGGGGATGGGAGTAAGTTGAGTTGGAATGGGATCCTTGAGTCAGTGGGCCATGTCAAGTCAGTTCGGAGAAATGTATTGAATCCAGGGAGATCAGGTAGCCGTATATGTATCTGTGGTCAGGGATGATGCACCAACAGTAGCTTCCATTGTGTTGGTTTCTAATACTCATTGCTGAATATCTGGGGTGGTGGTTTGACATCAGCAGAATGGGACCAGATTGCTCGCAGCCATTAATAAGAATTTAATGAGGGATTTTGAGTATGTGCGTAGAGGTAGAGTGGTTTTCTGTAACAGTACCATGTCTGGTGTAAAACTGACTTAATCCCCTCCAATCTCCTTTATATTTCTGCAGACCACCTTCAGATAGTTGAACCACCATTTTGCAATTCTAGTTTTAATTCACCATAATTAACTGTTTAGTAAACAAACTCCTATATAATAATGTTTGAATCATACAATGAACCGTTTCACGTAGATAGCGCTCTTTTTGAAATGGGTCTGGAGTTGGTTTTATGTGTTTCACAAACATCTTCACTTACATTCCTTACACATTTGGAAGCGAGAGAAGTGTCTAAAATGGAGGCTTGAATCCAAAGTATCAGAAAAACTGGGCCTACCCCACAGGGTGCACCGAATCCAGCTCCGCCCAAGCCACTACAAATATTTACAAATATTCAAGTGTAATAAGTGCAAAAAATTGCAAAAAGTGCACAGCGCTTAAAAAAAAATTCAATTTAAAGAGGTTTAAAATTATAAGGCTCTGACATTTTTAAAGCTTTTATATTGTCTGGCACTTATTATCACTTTGTGTACAGTTTCCATTGTTCCCACTGATGCACTGCTTGGATGATTTAACATGCAATTTACGTTCACTATGTCTCTCCCCTCCCTGTTCCTGAATACAGGTATTTAATGGTGTCACTGTGTAGTATAGCTTGACAAGGACAGTTCTAGTGGTCAGAACTTTGCTGCTGTGTTAACTCTGGGCACTTAAATAAAGAGACATTGAAAGGATGTGCCGGAATGCTTTTTTTTAAATTGTGAGATGGAGGCTTTGCGTCATGCGCGCCTTGTGCTGAAAGGTGCGTTCTTGATATTACTGGAATGCTAATGGCAATAAAACTATATTTGCTTGGGTTGCACATGTGTAGCAGAGCTGATACATGCAATTGGACAGCCTGTCAATCAGACACCGTGCATGTTTAGAACATTAAACACTAATTGTTATAATTTATAAAGCACCAACAAATTCTGCAGCGAAATACCAAGGTTGTTATAACACTGACAATAGAACACCCAATGCCTCGCTTAAGCTAAACCTTTGAGATGTACCTTCTAGTGTCCTGAGAAGTCCAGTAACACAAAATGGCAGGAGTTGTATCCCACAGGGACAGTTGGGAGGTATTATTTACAATATGACACCTGACCTTATTTGATGATATTTGCTGACTGTCATTTAGCTAGGATCATCTTAAAACAAGGTGATGAGATTTAAAGAAAATTTTGTTTGGTACATTACTGATGTGGAATCAATCAATTAATTGATTATCTTGCGTATCTGCCCCCGGCCAAATAAAAGAATGCATGCACGCTCCTGTAGTATTTCACACCAGACACAGGTTTCGGGTTAATAAAAACCTTGAGGAAGAGTTTATTCCAGGGGAATGGGATGCCCCTTATAAAGCAGAATTACATCATATGCATTGTCAGAGATAACATGGAATAATACATCAATTATTGGTTAGGTGTTAAGTGGTTTCTTTTATTGCTCTTCCAACCGGATGTGATGTCACTGGTATCTTGGAGGTCTCCCCCAGATTCCAGCGCCATCTTGTTAATGAGGGTGTTAGTTGATGACAAGGGGAAACGCCCTAGCGGCCATTTTAGGTAAATCACATATACTGTTGAATAACGCTGATTGTGGTTATGCCGAGTAAATAGACATTTTACTAACATGAATTGAGTTAATATTTTTGTCCACAACAAAGTAATTTTACATTTATAAGAACTGGACCCAAACTATCATCAGCCTCCCACAATGCAGCACAACGTGGACCATTTCATAGTTCAGTTTCTCAGATCAGCCACTTCCTTGATATCGATGTAAACTATGATTATAAACTTCATCCTCAATCTGACGTTTTGTGGTTGTTATCCGAACCGCAGCTCATTCTACCAGTCTTTGCCCTTGGCTGGATATGTGGATTTTGCTATTCTCCAAAGGAGTGGTTTCAAAACCAGGCT